CGACCTTTATCAACTGCTACCAGATCAAAATCTTGTACTCTCCACACCTGTTAATATATAACAGATACACATAATTAACTATGTGGACCCTTCAAAAGGGACATCTAATGGACATACTAAGTTGGACAGTGGCATCAGGTGGTCCTGGAAAGTTCATCTGATCTGTTTACACATGCTTTAGAATTAGAATGTATGAGAAAAGTTTCAATGAATATAAGATATGCGCCCACTGGCAGCTTTGATTTTGAAATAAAAATATTTGGAAGTACAGTAACAATTACCAGTATGAAATATTCAACCTTCAGACATACACTTCTTTTGAACTTTTTTAAGAACAAGAGCAATAACTCATACTAAATATTTTTCGATTTTTCTGATTTTCGATAGGGTTCATCCTTGGGTGATTACATACACTCACACCAAGTTTCGTCAAAATCCATCAAGAATTGTACCTTCTAAAGTGTTTACGTTGAACTTATTTTCAAGAACAAGGGCAATAACTCATAGTAAATTTTTTTTGATTTTTCTGATTTTCGATAGGGTTTATTCTTGGGTGATAACACACACCAAGTTTAATTAAAATCCATCAAGAATTTTGCCTTCTAGAGCATTTACAAGCTGAAAAAAAAGAACGTGTTTTCAAGAACAAGGGCAATAACTCAGTGATTAATAACATCTATACCATGTTTCATCTAAATCCGTCAATAATTGTGCCTTCTGGAGTGTTTACGAGCTAAAAATAAAACCCATTTACAAGAACAAGGGCAATAATTCACTAAATTTTTAATTTTTCTGATTTTTATTGGAATTCTTCCTTGGGTGATTACACCCACACTAGGTTTCAAGGGCAACAACTCATACTAAATATTTTTCGATTTTTCTGATTTTATAATTGGTTCATCCTAGGGTGAAATCAAACACACACACCCACCAAGTTTCATCAAAATCCGCAAATAATTGTGCCTTCTATTTTCGAGCATATCAAGAACAAGGGCAATAATTCATTATACTAAATATTTTCAAATTTTTCTGATTTTCAATAGGGTTTAACCTTGAGTGATTGTGAATAACCATACAAAGTGGACAGACGGACGGACATAAAAATGTATTGCATTCCGGACTACATTAAAAATAAATATTTGAAAAGTGGAAGTCATCATATCTTAAGTGTAAAAATGCCACTTGGGTCAAATTCAAATTTTAAAAAGTGTCCTACCTCAACTTCTCCAGATCCATCATCCACCATCTGAGTTTCAGCAGCTAATGCATGATTATTATGTAATGTGGTGGCATCAAACTTTGTCTGGATTGTTTTAGCTGAAATTTAATCATCTTAACTTAAGGAATTCAGGTATGAATAATAATCCTGATGACAAAGAAATAATTAATTGGAATATGTATTCTAGTTATATATGATAATAGAACAATGGACGTATAAGTTGGAATTAGGTGATACCAGCACATCCTACTGATCAAAACAACAAAATTTTACAATGTTTAATCTTATGTCTTGGTATGGGGAGGAGATGGCAACCTATACCATCAACTGTTTGGTGAAATCTACACTAAAAGTATCTAAAGCTTAGTATTTTCACCAGTAATTTCAATGAAGATGTTTTAACACTCACCAATTTTACTGTTAGTATAAACTTTTCCTGGGGGTGGTGGTTGGGGCCAGTCTCGGAATAAACATTTAAATTCTACAGGTTCACCCCCTTCTACAACTCTAGTGACAGGAGTTTTTGAGGGGTAACTCTTCTTGGTAACAAAGCCCTTAAAAATACATAGTACTAAATGAGCATTATAAAGAATGTAATGTTAAATTATTCAGGAGTGGAAATGAATATATACTCCAAGAAACTTGTGTAGGCAATGAGGTCAGGCAATCTTAATGTTCAAAATAAGATTCCATTGAACATTCCAAAAAACAAAACATTACTATGTAATTTCGAGGTATATTTTTGATAAAAATAAAATGTCTTACCAAGGCATTTCTCATGGCTTCTTTCTTTTCATTAGAGGAAGCTTTTTTACCAATCCATACCCAAATGCCAGCACAACCATTATCAATTATGAAGGAATCCTAAAATTTACCGATATATCTAGTTATAGTAAAAAAAATTGAAGAAATACAAGTAAAATATTTAATCCACAGACAAAAAAATAACACTACCAGATCTTTATAATTTGCAATATGTTAATTTTGTGAGAGTTTTCATATTGACAGTTCTTATAATGACAGATATCATATTGACAGTTCTTATAATGACAGATATCATATTGACAGATTTCATTTTGACAGTTCTTATATTGACAGATCTCATATTGACAGTTCTTATAATGGCAGATCTCATATTGACAAATTTCATTTTGACAGTTCTGATATTGTTATATCGACAGATGTCATATTGACAGTTCTCATGTTGGCAGATCTCATATTGACAGTTCTTATATTGGCAGATCTTAGATTGACATTCCTCATATTGACAGTTTTCATATTGACAGTTCTTATATTGGCAGATCTCATACAGACAGTTCTCAAATTTCTCATATTGACAGTTCTCATGTTGGCAGATCTCATATTGACAGTTCTTATATTGGCAGATCTCATACAGACAGTTCTCATATTTCTCATATTGACAGTTCTCATATTGACAGTTCTTATATTGGCAGATCTCATACAGACAGTTCTCATATTTCTCATATTGACAGTTCTCATATTGACAGTTCTTATATTGGCAGATCTCATACAGACAGTTCTCATATTTCTCATATTGACAGTTCTCATGTTGGCAGATCTCATATTGACAGTTCTTATATTGGCAGATCTTAGATTGACATTCCTCATATTGACAGTTCTCATATTGACAGTTCTTATATTGGCAGATCTCATACAGACAGTTCTCATATTTCTCATATTGACAGTTCTTATATTTCTCATATTGACTGTTCTTATATTGAAAGTTTTGATATTGCAGTGGTGATATAAGATGATTATATCAACAGATTGATTGTTACCTACAAAAACTACATGCAGTTACATAGTTCTTTCTAGTCCTTTCACTATTACATACAAAAAGAGTGTATGATGGTGCTGGATGAAAAATAAATATGAATTCATGTCAAAGCTCTTTAAATAACATGCATCTAGATATGCTACCACATTCCTCACATTTTACTTAGATCAAAAGGTTTTGAATAAACACAAACTATGTGAACCGAAACAGTAAGCCTATCTACAATTTGAATTCCAAGTGTGGTGAATGAGTTGATGATTTGTGTATGTGTGAAGATATGGATAGTTTGTTATTTCTGTAGAAGATTTTAAAAAATACCTCCTGGATTGCATGATAAAACAGAATAAATTTACCATTAAAAACAGGGTTTTCATATTTCAATAAATTTCTAATTATTGCTTTAATTTATTGATATATCTAGATGCTTTTGCCCATTTTTTGTAGAATTAAGGCAACTGAAAACTAACCTATTTCTTCATGTAAAATTTGTTCTTAACAAGAGTGTAAATAAAGCTAGAAATTTAAACAAAGAAACAAGACTTACATCATTATTAAGATCCTTATATGATAATGGACCAGCTTTAATTTCAGATAATTTTAAAGTTTTATTTTCTTCACGACACCTGAAAAAAACATGGGGTAGGATTAAATGTAATAAGTCTTCCAGAACACCTAATTTTGTCTGAGAATAGAATAATAATATGTACATTCCAGTAGTATTATGGGCATATATAAATAATATCATTCCATGGGCATATATGAATAATAATATGTACATTCCAGTAGTATTATGGGCATATATAAATAATATCATTCCATGGGCATATATAAATAATATTATTCCATGGGCATATATAAATAATATTATTCCATGGACATTATTCCATGGGCATATATAAATAATATTATTCCATGGACATATATAAATAATATTATTCCATGGGCATATATAAATAATATTATTCCATGGACATTATTCCATGGGCATATATAAATAATATTATTCCATGGACATATATAAATAATATTATTCCATGGACATATATAAATAATATTATTCCATGGGCATATATAAATAATATTATTCCATGGACATTATTCCATGGACATATATAAATAATATTATTCCATGGACATTATTCCATGGACATATATAAATAATATTATTCCATGGACATATATAAATAATATTATTCCATGGACATATATAAATAATATTATTCCATGGGCATATATAAATAATATAATTCCATGGACATATATAAATAATAAATACAACTGTGAGATAGCCCTGTTTTTCAAAGTTTAATTTTGTCCAGAAGGGAATCCATGTAAAAGAAGAGTTAAATATTTACAATAAAAGACTTACGAGAAAAGTTTAATCTGAGATCCAGCTTTCCTTTCTACAACTTCATCACTGGCAGCATCCTCAGCTGATTTCAAACTACCACGTTTCTGAGATATAGGTAGACGAGATTCAAACAGTTCTTTAGAATTTCCAGAGAGTTTTTCCTCCTCACCATCTTCAATAACAATAATAGCAGCATTCTTTCGGCTGTCTCTCAAACTACGACTGTATTCCATAGACTGTTGATATCAAAGAAAACGATATAAAACTGGATATGATATTCTTTTCCTCCAACAGAGATGGACATCATTTTCTATTGGGGCTCAAATTATCTGCCTGAAACTCATCTTTTATCTGTTACTGTACCTGAAGATTTCTGACAACTGTCTGAATACACATCGATTTCTTAAAAAAATTCTTACCCTTAGTCTTTCAGATCTGCGACATTTACCTCCCATCCAGGCGAATATAGTTTGACCTAGATCTAGGATAAAACTATCTCCATCATTCATATTTTCCCAACCAATTTCAACCTAAAAAATGACGACTGTCTTAAATACGATTACCTAGACAAGGAATATAAGCATTCAGCAAAGAAGTGATAATTTCCTTGAGGAGCAATAGGAATGCAATCTCATTTAAAAACAAGATGAAAATTTGATTTAATATATATATACTAAATAAACAATTACAAATTTGAGCATTTACTAAGCAAGTTATCTGTTCATTAGGTGCTTTAAGTAGGAAACCACCATAAATATCAAGAGTTGTATTCAATATGAATAATTTAAATGAATATATAAAATACTCAAAATATCAATCATGAAATTGTTGCAAAAGTTAAAATCATACCTCTGAGACAACTGGAATAGTCTTTCCTTTAACCCGTAATAATTTAGGTTTAAATACTTCTTCAACATGATTAAATCCAGACTTAACACCTCCAGCTTTTACACTGTAAATAAAAAACATATAAAAATTATTCTGTAACCTTTAAACAAAAGTAAGTGTTGAGGCAACTGGTTGGATGTGTGCCCATGGACAACTGAACCATGAAGCCGGAAGTAAAAGGAGTACTGTGGTACATCTAAGAACTCAATAATTTGGTCATCATAAAGAACCTTGAAATTCTTTAAGTTATACTATCTCTTAGAATGAACATAAAATCTAAAGTCTCAAATTTGGTCAATGAGAGTATATTCATCAGTTAGACTTACCAAGTGCAAAACTAAAGAATAGAATCTCTATATAACAAGATATATCCATTAAACTATATAATCATTGAAACATGCTTCTAAGCATTATTAGTAATGAATTATTACTTAGTTTCATAGATTTATTGCATTACAAAGGGATTTTTTTTGTATAGTTAAGAAGCCACCAGGTTAGTCCACTGATGAGCAATGACTTATTCTAACCAAGTTTAAAAATTTCAATATTTAGGTCATCCTGAGGTAGTGACCTAAGGTAGTTTATCTTAAAGAACAATATACTTCAGTTTTTTTTTTGGTAGTATTCTGAGGATAAAACGCTAGATTAACGCTAGTCATACTTACGTCAAACCTTTGGGAAAATAACTGACAAATCGAGAGGTTTCAGCTCCCTCTACTTCACGATGTTGTACAGGACTACCTCCCAAGAAGTCATCTAATTCTACACTTTTATAAGCAGCTACACCAGCTTCATCCTGTAGATATTCAAGACGCATAAAGATCATTTTAAACCTTGGAAATTATCCAGAATAATTCTTCTTGAACAATTTTACCCAGTTATATTCTTCTGTATTTCAGCACATCCTAGATTAATCAAAATTAATCGATAGTTGGAACTATATCACAGTCCACCTACATACTGCTCAGTTATGATTGTCTATAAAGTATTTTAGAAAAGTTTGAATAATTGTCATCACCTTACCTGAGAAGTTTCTGATCCAAGCCAAAAGTGAATATGACTGTCTAGAGAGCCTTTTATTTCCTTGATCTGAAACAAGGATAAGAATTATTATCAGAAATTAAATATATCTTATATCTTATAACAGCATCACTCATTTTATGTTATTAATTCTAATGCTTGACCATTCATAAACCAAAATCAATTTCAAAATGTTAACAGTAAACACTAGCTCCAAAAGATTCAATTTGGAGAGAATCAAAGAAATTTCACGGATTTCAACAGCAACTAATATACTAAATGATATACTTTACAATATATGACCCAGTGATTTAAATGTTATAAAATAGCAAATTTACACACAGATTTCCTTTGAAATCTTTATTACATCTACTGACTGCCCAAATTCAATCACTAGTGTTGTGCAATATATATCATAGTAAAATATTTAATATAAAACCTTGATTTCAGAGAGAACATGGGCCCACCCTGCACCAAATAATACACAGTAATCAAATAAACAAAATAAACTGATAATATTTCTCATTCTTCTATCTCTATATAACTTAAAATACTCTATTTAAGGGAGTGGCTTTTAGGTAGCACATTTCTGAATAAAATAACATTGTTATACAGTTTTAGTGATCAGTTATATGTCAGAGATAAATGCTGTATGGAGAAGTCTATAATGAGAGAAAGCTCTAATAGACATTAATTCTTTAACATGCTCAGCCATTATAGCTTTGAGAATTATTTAATCTTAATAATATTTTAAATGTCCACTGGCTGAGCATTGATGTCTTCTTTTCCAATTTCTGTTTTAGTTTACTATAGAATTGCTTGAAGATATGACAATAATGTCTGTAAAGTGTAAAGTTTAATCTTCATTTCATTATCAGATTCTTTCCACATTTTTTCAGATATCATGAAACTTTTATTGCATAAACGAATACAATTTAGGATTTGTGAGGCCCTAATCCTTGGTTTAAGAATCTACATTTCCATATGAATGTATACAAGTTGAAAATGAGGTCTATTTGAATCTCCTGATTTGAGAGTTTTTCAATCACACAATCAAAATAAATCTGTGCCAATTACTTAAAAAACAAATTTAAACCACAAATCATCTAAAACCACACATACAAACTAAAATCTTGTAAATTTCAACTATGTTACTATAGTATGAACTTTTTTCCAACTTTTTACAAAAGTAATACCACTATCTCATGAAATGTCATGCATTTTAAGCGTAATGATAGAATTCAACCTTCTGGAACACCAGGGGCCATTTGACAATTGAGTTTGTCAATTTCGGCACCTGGCGGAGAGTCAACATAGCCAATTTTGTTTATTTGATATATTCAATGCAAATTTTAGTTGTCAAAGGTAAAATATTCCAGATGGATATTTCAAAGCTTCTATCAGAATTGCTTTGACTGGTAAATAAAACATCATCAGCCCTGAAGTTCGATATCAGTAATGCTATTACAGTATTTAATGTGCTAGCCAGTTTATTATCAATGAGGATTTTGCCAAAAATATCATTTTACACCCGTTGGAAAGTTGGAATCAAGTCCTACTAACAGCTGTAAAACATAAAATTAAATAACCTGTTTGTGTGTAACATCTAAAATAATAATATATACCTTATGTACACGTTTAGAATCTCCTAAATTAGTATGCTAATTATATAGATAATATACAAAAATCATATACAAATATTCAAAGACAAATATACAAATAGACAGATAACAATTAGTACCAAAGCCATCAAGAAAATAAACAGTTTCAATCAAATTAATAAAGAAATTTCTTAAAATGTCCAATGAAACAGATTTGGATGGGAATAATTCTATTGTACAATCGTAAGGGAAATTGATCCAGGAATTTCAAAGCTAAATTGACCAATGATTAAAGCAATTCGGGAAAGTTCTCCTATGACATCATAGTTATAAAATTTGAAGGCATATCATTGGTGATATAAGAATAAGACAAATGACCAACAAAACGCTAATGAGGAAATCTTAACAGGAAATATAAAACAAATAAAATGACAACTTACAGACAACACGATATATGAGTCACCACGGAAAAAATTTCCAAAAAACTCTTTTGGTACAGGTACCACTTTCATATTCTGAAAAAATTCAACATTTTAGTTAATATCTTCAAAGCATTGAATATTGCAAATGTATTTCACTTTTTTTATTTTCCTATTTTAAATTATATAGATTTCTTTAAATGTCAGGAATAGTCGATTTGCTTCCATAAAACAAAGAGAATTTCATTAACAATGTTTTAAACTATACTATATAAATGTTTTCTTCACATAAAATATATGGAAGTATATTTTAGAACAGACTCCTGCCCATAAAATTTCTCTCTTTTTTGATGTCTTTTGTTCTTTTAAGAAAGTTACTTACTTCTATACGCCATATACAGAAACATGCTCGATTCCGATTGACTGTCTTAAAGGCAGGATCTATGTTAGTCATCCTGGAATATTCTGCAATAAAATTATTCATTGAATTAGACAACATCATCTTTCACATCTATCTGTTAAAACCATAACTTTCAATATCAACCAGAAATTTCATTAAATATTTCAGGAAAATTCCATCAAGAGCATATAGTATATTTAATGTGTAGGGTTTGCCCAGCTGTAAATTTGCATCGTCAAAAATAATTTATACAGTTTATTTTTTTGATTATGATCATGATTAAGGAAAACAAGTACAGAAAAATGATAGAAAGAATCCGGTGCCCAGCAGACACAATTCATTACAATACATTCTAGTTATTAATTATATATATTCCAAAACTGTTTTAAATCAATACAGTCCTGTATAGAAAAATCAATTCGAACTTCACTAAATTCTCATCGATACAAATGATCACATCAAATTTCATCCTAATCTGATAAAGACTGTAGTCTCTTTTGTGCTCAAAAAACCAATTTTAATGCATTTTGCCAAGTCAAGGACAATAACTCAAAAACCGTTCATCAAAAAAATCATCTATTTCGGACTTATCCTAGATTTCATGTATATATATCATCACAACAAATTTCATTAAAATCGGATGAATACTGTAGTCTCTATTGCGTTCACAAACAAATTTTAATGCATTTTTACTAAGTCAAGAGCAATAACTCAAAAACAGTTCATCGAAAAATCGTCAAATTTGAACTTGACCAGGATCTCATGAAGATAAATCATCACACCAAATTTCTGTAAAATCAAATAACAACTTTAGTGCGTACAAGAAATGTGAAAAATTAAAATTAAGAAGCTAGGAAACCCTTTTACAATATAATTTTATTTTTTAATTTTGTGTATTATACAATGCCCACATGTTATAACAACAGTTAATTTGTTATGATAGTCTGTGTTTTATATTTCCAGGAGAAACAAAACCTCTCACTTAGCCGGCCATGATATCTAAACTGGTCAATGAAAGATTGCAATCAATTTGAATCATCATTTCTGCTTTTATGGAAATTGTGCATTTAACAATTACTCTCATATAGCCAGGCTATGGTCTGTATAAAAACACTGTGTATCAGAATTCTATGATGTTTTTCTGTTAAAATAATATCAATCTAATCAAGATGTCACTGGAACCTGTTTCATACTATAATTGTTTATAGAAAATCAGTAATATAATAGTATATTGTCAGTTATTATAGTCATTAACTAGATTGTAGTAATAGAACAACATTATTTAGTATAAACAGGTCATATTATATACGCTTACAATGTGATCAATTTCAGCTGCAGACCAAAACATGCACTTAAGACATTGTTTAACTGAATGATTCTTCATTACAATATATTAGTGACAATCAATTTGGATATCTTTATCCTAAAAGTCCTTTCATTATTACTTGTTTATTGATCTTGAAGCTATCTTATAGAAGATGAATTCATGATCATTAAGTCGCTAGTTATTTACTAAAATATCCTAGGATGTTTTCATGAAGTGCAACAACAACTCTCTGGGAATTTTTAAAAAAATAAGAGTAGTTGTAAACAGGGCATCTTTTATATACAGTTAATATGCCGGACAAATAGCAGTTCCGTGTCATGTAGAATAATAATTTGTCTATTCCAACAGTGAAAATTCAAAGAAGACAAAAATAACAGAAGAATCTGTAACCATGGAAAAGGCTCAGAATCATATCAGAATGTTTTAAACCAAAGTTTATCATGCAACATGGTCCTAAAACATTATTAAAGGGATACTACGTCTTAAGATATGAACATAAAATTTTAATTTTGCTCAAATTTGGCCAATAACAGTATATATCCATCAGTGGACTTACCTGGTGTCCTAACTATACATCAAAATCCCTTTATAATCTGATATATCCACAAAATCAAGTAATTAATTATAAAACGCTTAATACATCCATTAAGCGATTTTCAAATCGTGAGTCTAGGAAATCCTGTGTAATTTTCAAGGGGAAATAACTCTCAACTGGGGTTTACCGCGTCCTTGACCTCTCCTCTTGAATTGACCTAGACATATTTTGAAGACGGAATAATAATGCCTCGTAGGAGATTAAACGACTCCGCGAAAAAGCAATTCATATAATTTAGAATGACACTGGCACAATTTTCAACGAATATTAATCATTGGCAGAGTTTGTTTGTATACACCGGAGGTAATTGTTTCCTGTTTTAGCGTTGATTACCCAGACTTTTTTTTTCTCAAACTGAACAGATTCATCGCTTGCTCACCTTTTTTTTAAATTCTGATTATAGTTTTATTGTCGGTTTTTCAAACTCGATAAAGCGTGGGATGCATACTTATTTAACCAATGGTCACTATTAAACACAAATATTAGCCACCTGACGAGTGTATTCTAAGACGTAGTATCCCTTTAAGATATCACACCAAAATAGTAAACATAGTTCGTTGTGACCAGCAAGTAGCAATAATCTTATCTTAGAGAGAGAGGTTCATATTATTCATGCAATATATGGTATAAGATTCCTGAAATTAATTTCATGCAATAGCTTCCACCTGATACAAACTTATTTCATGCATACAAATACAAACTATCTTACGGTTAAAATGCTGCTGCCAGACATCTGGAGGTGTGGCAGATTTAGGAAACATGTTTCCATTCGACTGCTGCAGAAGTGAAGAAAAAAATGGCTTTGTTGGGTTTGTCTTAATACTTCTGTTCATTGTAATAGAGACAGCTAACGATCCATATACTAATTTTACACACAATAGAGAAATTAAACGAAGTGATATTGTTAAGGTGATTAGCTCTAGTTAATCACTCTATCACAGAAATATTGGCAGTTACTTATTTAATCCTATTACTGTCCATTATGTCAGGTTTTACTGTAACTCAATACACTGGCAGTGGGTTAGTGGTTTCTAAAAACAAGTTCAGAAGTACAATGTGGTACAAATTTGAAATGCATATTGTGAATCATCAGATTGAAAGAAAGTTTTAAGCAGTGCAGTATAATCTCTATGTATTAATGGCTAATAAAAATAATATCAGACTTGAATATAATTCATTCATTCTCAGCATTATGCTCATTAACATGCTTTCATTTGCAGTATAAGAGTATTTGCAAATAGCGCATTCTCATTGCAACAAATTGACAATTTTAAGTACTGTTAAGATTAGGGTTGAAGACATTATTAGATAGTATATCAGTTTTTACATTTCAATGCATAAAAACATGACCTGTAACATTCTACACAACAAGTTAAAAAAAAAACTCCTTAATCTGTATGTTAATATATTCAATAAATAAATAATTAGTCAACGATTATTGATAGTTGACATTTTGCCTTCTAGCTGTATTTAATACTCTATTTTTCTCTATATATGTTATTTATATTTTCCATCTATTCATGTATGTCTTTTATAGTAATTAGGTAAAGAAAATACTAGATGTCATTGCTATCAGACATATAACATTATATAACATTTATCAGAAATCAGTTAAAAGCAATCAGAGCACAATCCTGTAGCTTGTACAGATAGGACACAGTGTTCCAGTAAGAGTGATGACACTCACTGTTGCAGTATATAAACTCTCGACACAAAAGGAGATATAGAACAGATAACATAAATCACAAATAAATGTTTAAAATGACCTAGAGCACTAATGAATTTAGCAAAGTTGACATGGAGCACAAATAAAATATGACACTAATTGCATAGAGCACAAATGAAGTTTATCAATCCTAAGTAAAAGCCCATGGAACTTTTAGCACAGTTAATTTCAAAGCAAATAGCAATCCACTTTCATTATAAAAATGACTCCCAATATGAAAAACTACCAAGCACAAATGAATAAACACAGCTAGGGATGAAACTTCCACAACATTCCAATGAGTCCATATGCAATTATATAAAAATCAATAATCACATGCATTTATGAGAGATTTTGAATGGAAACAAATATGAATCATTTCTGAAATCAAATGAAGCCTTATGATACAAAATCTTTCATACTTTAAAATTTCCTGACAAAATCAATGAACAAAATATTAACAAACATTGATTAAAATCAAATTAAAAACAAATCACACAGTTAACGTCAACTAACATCTAAAATCATCAAATAGATATTTTAATATATAGTATTGTTCAATCACTCTACACAATTAGAAATATGGAAATGAGACATATACAGTAAACAAACATCATCACAAAAATAAACAAATGGAAATGAGACATATACAGTAAACAAACATCATCACAAAAATAAAGAAAAGATCTAAATTGTTTTTTTTTTAATAAAGATAAGAATGTGACACACTGAAGTTATTTCCTACATGGAAATGTCACTGATCTTAAATCATGTTTTCTCTGAGTTACGCAATGAGGTTTACATTTAATATTGTTCACCAAATTCAAATTGTCACATATTTTTTTTTTCATTTTGTATGTCAAATACAAACAATAGAGATATGAGGAAAATCTTGGTAAATATTGGGTAAACAAGACAACAAAACAATTGGCAATACTGTTTAGTAGACATTAAACTTTCCATCTCTCTGGCATGCAAGTAGTCCAAAATTACAGACTCATACCAGTCACAGCTATACCATACCCCTATTTGTCATATTTCCTTGAGGCCATGGTAACACAAGTGA